GCTTCTTGTTCAATTGCCTTTCCTTTATTCTTTTTGGTAGGGCAATTCTTTGCCCTGTGTTTGATTTTTCCGCATTCAACACATTCACCTTTCTGGCGTCTCAATTCTGTAGTTGATTTTTGTTTCTTTTTAAAGAAGTATGGTGTTTCTTCTACAGAGTTATAGAAGAGTTAGAGTTGAGGCTGCATATTCTTTCTGGAGAATGCCTGAGTTCTGTATGCATTATTTTCGTGGAATATAGCATTCTTTCATTCAGTCTTTTTGATAATAGTTGTTATGTCCTCACGATCTTCTTCAACTGGTTCCACTTTGCATTGAAGAGTTGGGTGCATGGCATTGTAGAATCTTCACTTTAGGATATAACCTGAGATACTTTCTTTCTTCATTCAGTGTTTTTACATCAGGAAATCTATAGCTATATTCGTGATTCTGTTAACATATACTCCATTAACTTGGTAAAGCTCATTGAATTTCTTATATAACAGGTCATTTGAAATAGAGGATTAGATTTGACTTTTAAGAGATCGAGTACTGTTATTAGTCTCAGTTTGTGGTTTCTGCCATATTCCTTATAGTATTAATGTTAAGCGTCTGCTACCTTTCCTTCACAGAATAATCCGATATATAGTCCAGATGTAGGTTTCTCCATATCTACCTTTTTCAGGAGGAGGTAGTATGCAAGCTCAGTTGCCCATTAATCAAATGCTTCAGGTTCGAGATCTTTTTGTTTTCCTGTGAACTTGGGTGGTAGGTGGTACTTGAGGCCGGCGATATCAGGTATATTGAGTTCTTCTTTTTCTTCTTCAGGTCATACTCTTAATTTTCCTCCGCCTAAATGTCCTCCTCCTGTACTAGCCATATCTGATTTGATTCTAGATTTAGAGTCATTCGGGAGCTCAAAGGTGGGTTTCTTTACTGGGATAAGTTGGAAGTTTCCTGGAGGTTATGAAGCTTCAATGTTGGTAGGTTCTTCGGTCTCTTTAGCAAAGTGTCAGGATTGTTTCATCCTTATAAGATCATGCCGTGATATACGCTTCCCACTCGTAGTCGTCAATGACTCTATCTTGGTATCAAGACAAAGCTGAATCTACTGTGATTATGCTACTTCTTACTACAAACGCTCTTAGGAGGAAGTTGATAGGTTAATCGGGCCAAGATCAGGTGATGTCACGAACGTGGCTTGGCATGAAAGAGGCTTTCACGTGATACATGGATATGAGTCACAGGTTTGTTATTGTTTTACACATATGACTGATTCGGGTCATATGATTTGTTATGTGTAGGATTTGTGATACTTTCGCACATGACTCAAATATGAGTCATGGGACGTGTGCCTGACGAGTATGCCTTACGAGTGTGCCTTGCAGGTAAGCCTTGTGCATATGAGTTATATTTCGCACATGACCTCGTTATAAGGTCATGGGTTTCGCGCATATGACTCAGTCGAGTTATCTGACTTGTTTATTACATTATGATTGGTTTATGAGTTTTGTACATGACCTCGCTATGAGGTCATGGGTTTTGAGCATAGGATCACTTCGGTCACATCATTAGTTTGTTATGATTTGGTTTCGCACATGTGACCACTTTAGGTCACATGACTACAGGCGGAAAGAATACTATATAAGGAGGTTGATGTGGTCGAGGAAGATAGGTTCTTCAGGCTTTGCTCAAAGTACTTTTCCTACTTCTTACTTTAAACGAATATAAAATATCTTTACGATCTTTATCTTTACTGCAATATTATAGTTACACGAAGGAAAGTTCTTCACAAAGACAAGTTAGAGAAAGCTTACGATAGGCATTTCCGATAGAAGACTAAGGTCTGGCACTATCGGTAACGTAGGCAGAGGCCTAGAGCTATCGGAAGACAAAGGAAGAAGAAGACAGCAAAGAGAAGTATCGTTCCCCATCGCCAAGAATTAACTGTCTAAAGGGAGATCATTACATTACAAAGAGTCACCTAGTGCGAAGCCAACTGATATAAGACAGCATTCTTCAATCCAGACAGGGGAGGAGATATTGACATGGACGATCAAAACCTTAACCTAGGAGGATTCAGCAACGCCCTAGATCACGTCGCGGCAGAACCCACAAGAGCAGTAAGCCAAGTAACTCCAGAGAACGGATCACCAGTCAATAGCTCTCCTGCAGGAACTCTACAACCCGAGAGAATGTCGGGATCAGCAGTACCTGGGCCACCAGCCTGAGCCGCTCCGGCACCAGGAACTAGCATACTTGGAATGACTGAAAATCAGTTTCAGGTATTTCTCACAGCAACACAAAACACAGGTCAAGAAAACGTCCAATGACTGAAAGCAAAGAAGCCCGACACATACGAAGGAGGCAAAGACAAGCTACAAATATTCTTAGCGCAATGTGAAGGATATTTTACAGTCAAGGGATATGGAGATCACTATGACGAGATCAAGATTCCATACATGGAATCTCTACTCAGGAGACTCACAGGGCAATGGTTCATGCCTTTCCAAGATGGAAGGAAGCAGAGGGAATGGGTCACATACGAAGAGTTCAAGGCGACACTCTTCAAACAATTCCGAGATCCCACTACCAAAGAAACAGTAAGATGAAAGCTGGAAAAACTCCAACAAAAACAAACATTCTTGGGCATACTGGAATGAATGTCGACTATTGGAATACGAAGCCGAGTTTGATGATGCAACTCTCTACATCATCCGGCTGAGAAACTGCAGCGAGAGACTCCGAGAGGCGTGGTGAATCTCCGACCTGCGCTATAAGACAGCCGAACGATTTACAAGATGGGCGATTGATAAGGAAAGCAAACTAAACATGGTTCGAAGGAACTCAGAAAACGCTATAGCCCACAGGGTGGTCCAATCATCCAGGAATGTGGACGGAACCTTCAAACCGCAAGCAGCTAGAGGAGAAAGTCGAGCATTACCACCAGTTGAGTCAATAGAGTTAGACAAATCAAGAGCAGGACCTGCTCTGAACTTGTCTAGGGAAGAATACGCCAGAAGAATGAACGGGAAACTCTGCCTAAGTTGCAGAAAAGCAGGCCATCGGATACGAGAATGCAGAAGCCGACCCAACAGCGGATACCAAGGGACCAGAGCTGCGGGAAATAATCGTTTCCAAAATCAAAAAAGGAGCAACATTCGCGAGAGGATAGCAGAAGATTCACCGGCGGAAAATAATAAGGGTACCCAGTAAACAGTGGTCTGGGAGAACCAAGATGTGGACCTGGACAACCCATCAAGTTAGTGAACTACTACGCGGCACTACACACGCAAAGAGGAGAAGAAGACGGAGATCATGTGATGATCAAGACAAAGATATACAAGGAAGAAAACGAAGAAACAACAATATATGCAATGTGCGACTCGGGGACTACTGAAGACTTCATCGATAAAGAAATCTGCGACAAATACCGCCTCCACACCAAACTAGCAAAGAAAGTGAGACAAGTGTACCTAGCGGATGGAAAGCCAAGTGCTATGGGTCCTATAACCCATACGGCGACAGTACCTGTAGACATTGACAGCCATAGGGAAATGGCAACCTTTCAGGTGGCAGATCGTAAAAACCATGAGATAGTCCTAAGGATGCCATGATTAGGAAAGCATAATCCGACAATTGATTGGAACGAGAATAAGATGACCTTTAAAAGCGAACTATATGTGACATGATGTCTTCACAGTTCACTTGTGGTTAACTCAACAGCAATACGAGAAGTGGAAGAAGAAACTTTGTATGCAAAGTTCGCCGAGATGTGGAAAGATAAGAGAGTCTGGATATAAAGACTGGACCAAGAGGCAAGAGTGCCTACCAAGGGTTCCAAAGGGGCAGCAGGACATGACCTATATGCCAACAAAGGAATCAAAATACCTGCCAATGGGCAGGCAACAATAACAACAGGAATAGCTATCGGACTACCAGAAGGAACCTATGGATGAATAGCACCCCGCAGTAGTCTAGCAGTCAAACATCGACTTATGACCATGGTAGGGGTGATCGATGACGACTATACAGGTGAAATGAATGTAGTCCTGGCTAACCTGACTCAAGAGAACTACAAAGTCCAAAAAGGCAAGCGAATTGCATAGTTGATAAACGAAAAAATCAACAATGAGGATCTGTACGAGGTAGATCAACTGGAAGAAACCACAAGAAGAGAACAGAGATTTGGAAGCATGGACCAAAACCAGCCTGATACAACAAAAAGAATCGAGATCAAAGAGATCACAGCACAAGCCTTTGGAAGGTACTGTTGAAGTGGAGATATAACAGGAATTCTTAAATGGACATACGAAGACGAAAAAGCAGTCCTAGCAAAAAGCAACATGAGTACAGAGCTAGTAATCCAGGATAAGAAATACCAAAGCAAAAAGGGATAGAAATAATTGGTTTCAAAGGAATATCATCAATTCACGAACCTATTGCAAGAAGAGGAAGCTACCGAGCTACCACCTCGAAGACCAGGAATCAATCAAGGAATTCAGCTTGACAAAGACGAAAAAATGGGAAAAACAAAAGAAATTCCCTACAAGAAGTTATACCAACTAGGAGAAGCAGAGCTCGAAGAACCTAGGAAGTACATTGAGCAAAACTTAAAGCGAGGATGGATCAGGGACTCTTTTGCATCAGGAGGATCCCCAATACTATTCGTCAAAAAGAAAGACGGAAAAATAAGACTCTATGTGGACGACAGCACTCTCAATTCGGTTATCAAGAAAGACCGATATCTACTACCCTTGATTGGAAAAGCACTGGATAGACTGCGGTCAGCAAAATACTTCACCAAACTCAACATCAAGGACGTATACCACAATATACATATCAAGGGAGGAGATGAATAGAAGACTACATTCGCTTCAAGATACGGAATGTTCGAATACTTGGTTATGCCTTTCGGGCTAACCCATGCACCGGCTTCATTTCAGAGATGGATCAAGAAGGTACTCAATAAGTACCTCAACATATGTTACATCGTATACTTGGGCGATGTACTCATATAGTCGGAAAACATACACCAACACCAAAAGGATATAAGCAATATCATGGCCGCAATACAAGGATCAGGAATGAAGATCAAACTAACAAAATGCGAATTCAATAAGGAAGAAACAGAATTCCTCGGATTTATTATCAATCGAAGTAGGGTCAAGGTCGACCCTGTCAAAACAGTAGCCATATGGGATTGGGCCAAACCAAACAACAAAACGGATGTTCAATGCTTTATGGGATTCTGCAACTTTTATCGAAGGTTCATAGAGGGATTTAGCAGGCTTGCAAAACCACTCTATAACCTAACAAAGATAGACAAGAAATCGGAATAGGGAGAAACAGAACAAAAAGCATATGATGCAATACGAACTCATCTAACATCGGCACCCATACTGGTTCATTTCAACCCAAACTGAAGGACAATGATCGAAACAGATGCATCAAAATATGTATGCTCGGGCATACTATCACAACAATGCGACGATGGAAAATGGAGGCCATTGTCTTACCGATCCAAGACAATGACCCCTACAGAATGTAATTATGATCTTGCAAACGAAAAACTATTAGCGACAGTTCAAGCATTAAAGGAATGGAGAAGATACGTTTTGAACAACCACTATCCAGTCCAAGTTTTAACCGACCATAAGAACTTGGTCCCGTTCATGACTACGAAAGAACTAAATAACCGTCAGATAAGATAGATGGAACACCTCAGCAAATACAACTTCAAAATTGAATACCGACCAGGCAAAGAGAGTGGAAAGCCAGATGCTCTCACAAGGATTGTAAGCGACAAACCACAAATGAAAGAAGATGAAAGAATCAAACAAAAAATACGAACACTATTACCAAAAACCTACTTCGAGGCAATAAAGGTTATCCAATTCACATCAACTGAGGAAAGGGAAATTGAGAATGCAAACGAAAAAGACAAAACAATTCAGGCAATAAGAGAAGCATTGAAGGAAGGAACAAAGGAGATGAAAGGAATTGCTCTGTGTTTATGCCAATAGAAGGATGAAAATATGTGGTACGAAGGAAAACAATGGATCCCGGAAGAAGAGGAGATAAGGACAGACATCATATGACAACACCACAATATCCAAATGGCAGGACATGGAGGAATGGCTAAAACCACAGAATTCATCAAGAGGTCATTCTATTGACCAGGACTGCGCAAAGATGTCACACAATATGTCAAAAACTGGGACATATATCAAAGGACGAAAACGGCTAAACACGCACCGTATGGATTACTGAAATTGAATGAAGTTCCCGAACAACCATGGGAAACAATTACTATGGATTTCATCATGGACCTAACGGCATCAGAAAATTGTGATAGCATCCTGGTTGTGGTGGATCGTCTGACCAAAATGAGGCATTTCTTTCCAGTCAGAAAAGATATCAACACAAGGGATTTTATACAAACCTTCTTCCGAGAGGTCTTCCGACTTCACGGCCTCCCAAAAAACATCATTACCAATCGAGGAACACTATTCACATTGGGACTATGGAAGAAAGTAACCCGAGAAATGGGGATACAAAACAGGATGAGCACAGTGTTCCACCCAAAAAACGGATAGACAAACGGAACGGGTAAATGCAATACTCGAACAATATTTAAGGGCCTACGTCAATTATCAACCAGATGACTTGTACAGGTTCTTATCTATGGCCGAATTCACATACAACAAGGGAATGCAAGAAACAAGCGGCACGACACCCTTCTTCGCGAATTATGGACAACATGCACAAAGTCAGACCACATATTATATAATTAATGATGTGATACCGGACAAAACCGATATGGGAAAACTACACGAAACCTTATAATATCAAATGAGTCAAGCACAATAATGACAAAAGCAACAATATGATAAGCACAGAGGTCGAGATCCAAACATACAACTGGGAGATATGGTATGGCTAATACCACGCAATATCCATACGACACAACTATCAAAGAAATTGGACTACAAGAAAATAGGACCATTCAGGATATTGGAAAGAGTAGGCAGCCGAGCTTATAAACTTGAGCTTCCCCCCTCGATGCGAATACACAACACATTCCACATCTCACTCCTCGAATTACACAACAACAACAAGTTTCCCTCACAAACACTTATTCCTCCCCCTCCGATTGAACTCGACGGAGAACCAGAATAGGAGCTCAAGGAAATAGTCAATTCCTACTTCTTCCATGGTCACCCCCAATACCGAGCCAAGTAGATAGGATATTCACCCGAACACGATAAAACTTGGTACTTCGCACGCAACTTTGAACACGTAAAAATGCCATCTCAACCTTCCACCAGTGATACCCAGGCAAGCCCAACCCAGGTGACGATCATGTTCAACCAAGACTAAGGCGAGGGAAAGGCTTCCGTGCCGATGTAACAACACGAGGGCTGGGGCGATAGCCCCTGCCAAACCTCACCCACCAGTCCCGAATACTCATTCATGGGGCTGACAGATGAAGAACTCAAGGAAAGGGAAAAACAAGTACAGCATAACGCCATGTCATGGACAGTATGCTATGATAACGGTTGCTGAACACATTTTGGTGACAAAGAAGGCTCCGAATAGTTCCCGAGGGAATGTCAGAAGGGTGGCCCATGCTCAGACCACATTCTGAAGTATTGGCAACAATGCTTCAGAAATCAGTGCAGGATGCACAGGGCACAGAAAATATCTGCGGGATTCTACCCACAGAAAGATGGAAGCAGGAAAGAGTTGGAAGTTGAGGATGCAAGAAAGGCATGGACCGCGAGGACGCGGTACAGGGGGAGAGGGGACCAAAACTCCTCAGCAGACACGGAACTGGACGTCAGAAGCCTATACAGGCAGATACTGGGACTCCGAGAACAACTTGGCCATGCCGAGGCCACAATTTCAGCAAACGACAAAACGATCGCAGAGCTAAGACAGCTGCATGATAATCAGCGCTACACGATTGAGATGGCGAATCTGACTCTAGAATCGGTAAGGGTCAGATGGAGGACGGTAGACGAAAAGTTCCACAAGCTGAGAAGGATCACGCGCTCTGCAGGACGGGAACTATTGAAACTAGGAGAAAATGCCTGATGGGACTCAGGCTTAGGAGGAGGGGAGCTAGTGTCATGAATGTGGCTTGGCATGAAAGAGGCTTTCACGTGACAAATGGTTATGAGTCACAGGTATGTTATTGTTTTACACATATGACTCATTTGAGTCATATGATTTGTTATGTGTGAGATTTGTAATACTTTCGCACATGGCTCAAATATGAGTCATGGGAAGTGTGCCTGGCGAGTATGCCGTGCGAGTGTGCCTTGCGGGTAAGCCTTGCGCATATGAGTTATGTTTCGCACATGAACTCTTATGAGGTCATGGGCTTCGCGCATATGACTCAGTCGAGTCATATGACTTGTTTATTATGTTATAATTGGTTTAAGAGTTTTGTACATGACCTCGCTATGAGGTCATGGGTTTTGAGCATGGGATCACTTTAGTCACATTATTAGTTTGTTATGATTTGGTTTCGCACATGTGACCACTTTAGGTCACATGACTTCGGGCAGGAAGAATACTATATAAGGAAGCCGATATGGCCGTGGAAGACAGGTTCTTTACGCTTTGTTCTAAGTACTTTTCCTACTTATTACTTCAAACGAATATAAAATATCTTTACGATCTTTATTTTTACTGCAACCTTATAGTTATGCGAAGGGAAGTTCTTCACACAGACAAGTTAGAGAAAGCTTACGATAGGTGTTTCCAATAGAAGCCATAGGCCTTGTACTATCGGTAACGTAGGCAGAGACCTAAAGCTATCATAAGACGAAGAAAGAAGAAGACAGCAAAGAGAAGTATCGTTCTCCGTCGCCCAGAATTAACTGTCCAAAGGGGGATCATTACCAGTGATAAGTTCTTAACTACTAGCTGATATGAAAAAAATGTAATATATTTGCAAGATACTAATCATGTTATCGGTAATAGGTACAATAATTGGCAGTTGGCCTGCTCTACCAGGGAGAAGGTGAGAGCTGAGAACTAATGGAGGCTTCAAAGATGTACTGAGAAAATAAAGGAGTAACTGTTCAACCAAGTATCTTGAAATACTGTCTGTCGAAGTCTGCCTTCTCTATTGTGGAATCCGGCGATCTTTAAATATACAAATCTGTTCATGCTTGGCGTGAACTAAACTAATCAAAGATATTAAGCAATACACTTTGGTAAAATAACTTAAGTATCAAAATGATACTTAAAACAAAGCATAAAACAAAATCAAGTATCAATGTATTACTTAAAACAAAACATAAAACAAAACCAATAACTGAGTACCTATACTGGTTACACTCCTAGTGGAATTCACATTTCATAGGTTTGATCTTCATTCCTGAATTTTAGATAGATTCTATAACTTCCCTGATACTCTTGATGTGTTTTCTTACAGAGTCTGAATATATGTGTACCTTGTCTAAATAGATAATGCAACATCTATTCAGAAATCTTCTCAAGACTTGGTTAATCTATCTTTAGAATGCAGCTAGTACATGGGTTAGGCTGAATGGCATAATCAAGTATTTGTACATTTCATATTTGGATGTAAACATTGTCTTCTATTCGTCCCTTTTCTTGATTCTGATGTTGTGGTAGGTATTTATGATGTCGAGCTTCGTGAAATATTGCGCCATTCTTAGTCTGTCCAAGGCTTCACCTAACAGGGGAAGTGAGTATCGCTCCTTCTTTGTGATTGGGTTAAGTACTCAGTAGTCTACAGATCATCTTAGTTTGCCATCTTTCTTTTGACAAATATTATTAGAGATTCTTAAGATCCATGAGTTTCTCATATCTATCCTCAGTCTTGGATAGTTTCAATATAGGTCCTTAGTTCTTCCAATTTGTTCTTGCTTAGTTCATAGACCATTTTTCATGGTATGTGTTAGTTTCCTAATCCTTCTTTGTTGAGTTATAGATCAATGGCTAAGTTGATCCCGTGTCTGTGTGATAGTAGTTTGATTACGTTTTCTTCCTTAAATAGGTTGTAAAACCTGTGA